TTCATCCTGCCCCAGCTGTCCGAAGATGCCTAAACCCTTGTCTTTTCCTTCAGACCGTTAAATAAATAAATAATTTTATCAAAAAAACCCTTGGGTGTCTCATCTTCGTCAACCGCAACCTTTGGATCCCAATTCCGCTCCTTGGACATTGGTCTCAGGCGATTATTCCCCTGGATTTCACAGTGGCAGATTTTTCTACGGCCATCCTAGGCGTTAACTTTCCATCCGCTTTTGATCTGTCGGCTGACTTTTGACAACTTTGCCCTCACCAACACGTTACTACCCTTTCCGTCAAAGGCTTTCATTTATCACCAACCCACAACCATCTGTCTGTCCTTGATCTAAATCCTAACTCTTCATTTCGGAAGCTTTTGGCCGAATACCTTAGTCTCACTAAGTCCCACATTTCTGAATCCTCATCGCCAAATTATATTGTTCACCACGTCAAAACAAAGGATCCTCCTGTTTTTTGTTTCTCCCACCGTTTTCCTCCCACCTGTCTTGCAAATATCAAGACTGAATTTGACCACCTCTTGTAACTAGGATTATTAGACAGTCTGCCAGTCCCTGGGTATCGCCTTTGCACATGGTTCCCCAATCACAGACGGATGATTGGCGCCTTGCACTGACCACAGAGTCTTGAACAACATCACTATGCCTGATAAGTACACGGTTCCTCATCTTCAAACCTTTGCAGGAGACCTCCTTGGCAAACCATTTTCTCAAAGATCGATTAGGTCCAAACTTTCTATTAAATTTGATTGCGTTTGAGGACGCAGTGACGACTTCTTTTGGATTGTCCGATTTTCCGCATGTTATTTGGACTTCGAAATAACTCGTAAACATTCCAACACTTCGTTGATCCTGTTTGCGTGGACCTCCTTTTGTTCATGCTTATATGATCGATGTCCTAGTAGCCAACAACTTCCATAGCTTCTCGACCGTTTCCAGACGCTCGATGTCACCCAGCAATCTGTTAAATGCGTCCTAATGGTCACTTCACCTAAGTTCTTAGGTCACCAGATCGACTGCTACGGCTTTCGTCTCCTTCCTTCAAAGGTCGTTGTTATTCACGTTTTTCCGCCCCCTACCTCCAAAAATCGGCTACGGCGGCTTCTTGATTTGGTAGACATTTACCGCCGACGTCGCAGGACTTCTCCCCAATCGTGGTAGTGGGGGAGGGTGGTAGTCGTCGTCGCCGTCGTCGTGAGCGGTGTGACAGTGATTATGGATGTAGTGGTGAGCGACGCCAGCATCTTCAGTAGGATGTCAGTAATTTACTCACCGTTGTCGGCGGCCATCGCTGTCGTCGTCATCGTCGTCGTCGTGATTGCGGAAGAGGCGACAATAGAGACGTTTGCCAAAGCAGTGGATGGAGCCGTCGCGCTGTTATAGTACTGGGTCCGAAGATGTCCGACGAGGCCGGCCCGTGAGCGGAATGTCCGCTGACATCATGTGCACGATGGATGTAGTGTGGGGGGTGGTTTGCGACTTGCGAGTCGTTCTTTTGGATTTGCAATGAAAATGTGATTGTCTTCATGCTTTGCTGATTTATTCTTCACTGTCCTTCGCCGGCCTGGTCGATCCTAGGCGAGATCATCCCGGGAAAGCGGACTAGTCCGCAAGCGTTTGGCAGAGGTCCGTAGGGCTTTCTTTCAGTGTTGTTCTTACCTACCTTGTCGGCAAAAACGCGCAGTGATGTCGCCGTAGGAGGGGGCGGCCATCCATTTCGGGTAGGCGGCAAATCCAGCGCAATTGCAGTTGCCCGACATGGCGTGTATGCTGAGTATAAGGGGATCCGTTCCGACATTTCCGCGTGTGAGATTGTGTCCTATCAACCTGACTTCTGTATTCTGCGGAGGAACCAAAATGGAAGTGCTTCGGTTTTCTGGCTTGGTATGAGTAGATGGTTCATGTTTCCGTCCTGATAGTAGTGTCGTCACTACTACCGCCCTGTACATCTCGTGTATGATGTTTAGGTGAAGTCCACGATGATTCCAGATTGGAGTCTGGAGCCGGCCAAATGACATGCTGCCTTTTGAAACTCGATTGGACACTATGTCATCCATCGCAATATTTCATGGGATTGTGCTGCCGAGGGACTCGAAATTGTCCAGAGTGGCGTGTTGACTTATTTAGACGTTAATGTCGGCGCCGGTCTAAGCATGACCTCCGTTTTCCCCGAGTTGGCGGCCAGTCTGTAGTTATCACAATCGGAAGCGAAAAGGTCTGTGCCACTACGCATACCCAGGAACTGAAATTTTCCTTCATGACGATTCGGCAGTGCTTTCTGGCATTCACTTATCCCGTTTCTGGTATTGAATTTTGGTAACCACCGCACACGTAGTTTATAAATTTATACCCTCTATCATGAATAAATATTTGGTGTAGCAACCTCGCCGTCAAGTATTTCGTACTACTTACTGAAATCATCCCCAAACCTTTTGATAGTTTGCTTCTTCTCGCCCTCGTTAATATGCAACCATTTACTTCGACATTGGAGTTCAAATTTGGTTAGGTTTCTTGCTGGCTGCTGAGATTATGTTAGTACCTCCTCGAGGTGTTTCATTTCGCGTACCGCCAGGTGCTATACTTGTCACTGCCACTAAGCCTCTTTCCTCTGGGCAACTTCCGGTCATTCTGGCACCCTGACTGGGCTAAAGTACTGTATTGACTCTAATAGAGTGATACAAAATTAACCTGTAAACTGTAGGCATGCCAATAATTGCCTGTTCGAAACTTGACATGAAGTGACTGTAGACCTTGTTTAAACGCATAAACGCACGGTCGGCCGGTTACTTTTTTCAACCGTTGGAGCGTGTTGGGATGGCTCGTTCTCAGAAGAAGACGCGTCGTACTACTCGCAAAGATACTGCCACTCGGGAATACACGATTAATTTGCACCGTCGCATTCATGGCATTGGCTTTAAACGACGAGCCCCGCGGGCCATTAATGAGGTGAGGAAATTCGCTAGAAAAATGATGGGCACCGAGGACGTCAGGATTGGTGTTCGACTGAATGAGTAATTGTCTTGACTTATATCTACTGTTTCATTAAGATTCCTCTGGTCTAAGGGCGTTCGCAATGTCCCTTACCGTGTCCGTGTGAAGTTGTCCCGAAAGCGTAACGAGGATGAAGATAGCCCCCACAAGTTCTACACGCTTGTTTCATATGTTCCTTGCGCCGATTTTAAGGGCAAGCAGAACATTAATGTCGAACCTGAGAAGTGAATTTCGAAATAAATGGTTTGTGAAACCTCTGGATTGTAACTATAATCCTAATCTACGTCTGACTGGGTCGTTCTGCAAGCTCCCAGCCATCGTGCCTCTTCGTAGCATCTCAACAATGTTCCTGTTCCTATGTCGTCCTGTCTGTGAATGCTCCGATGAAGCGACTGACGGTTTTTTGTCCCCGTCAGTCCTGGTTCTATAAATGGCCGTTGCGTACATTCTGACCGGAGGCAGTTCTATGGACACTGACGTGCAGCTTAGTTCAGTTTCCGTCCCATAAGCTTAAAACAGCTTATTTACTGCTACGGCATGGGTATAGGCTCGCCAGTTCTGCTCGTAGTGTTCGATCCTCTAATTTTCCCACCGTTTATGCCCTTGTACATAAAGCGCCATTTGTGACATTTCTGGTCGTCTTTTTGCCCTCCCTTTTGTCTACTTTTATAAATTAGGATCCACTGTGTATGGACCGGTGATATTTATGACTTATTACACGTGTTAACTCCCATTGTGCTTTCTGTAGGCTAGATCATCCAACTATCACTATTATCGACTAGCCTTTTCTAATAGCGCCCTTCCAGAGAAGGCGCGCCTAGGTATGTGAGGGTAGTGATTGTGCCGACCGCATTCTCCCAGAACGAATCTGTGGTCTATGCAACATCTTCACCTTATCTAGAATAAAATTGCCATGGTGCGTGCTCTCCCCAGCCTCCAAGCATACGGAAATGGCACCTCTTCGACCAAGGAAGTGGTTCTCTCAGCATCACTTCATGTTCACCTCTTAACTTCTAAGGTTATTGCATTTTCCGCCCAGTTCCGCCAGATACTTCTGCCAATACTTGCTTTGTGTCTGGTTGAAAGGTGCGGAATGCTTTATTGTGCATTGTGGTGGGAAGCCTACTCTGAATTATGGCAGGCAGCAAAGAATTGGATGTCTTCAGTGCTTTTGTTCTATCCAAATACAAAATCTCAGGCGAACTGGACTTGACGGCTGCTGCGCCCTGCATTAACTGATATCGAAATGATGTCTTGTGAAGGAAGCTCATTATACTGCAGTTAGAACAAGCAAAACGAACTTTGAGACCTTTCGTGCTTCAGCATTGACCGAGATTTCGGCTGTTGTCGGAAGTCCATGCCCACAACGTTTGACATCAAATACTTTGTCGGGCCTGGGATTTTGCCCATTAGGATCAGTAGACGCCAATTTTTTGGGACCTCACTAATCTCCCTTAACTTCATCAGTCCGCACTCCATTGTTGACAATCAGCCGAGCAGTTGAGATTTAATCTCTGTGCGCCAGAACGTTTGTTGTATGTCAGAAGCCACCCTGTTGCGTTTACTTCTCCGCTCTTGCCAGAACCGGCTGCATTGGGAAGCGGATTTGTGGACCTCCGAGCCTGATTGTTTGAATGCTAGCTATCAAGCACATTGAGTGTTTGTGCAAAGTACTCTTGTGGTAAGCAGTAGAAAACTAGCTTCATGTAACGTCCTTTTCACAAAACTTATCCCGGACTGGATATTGCGTTTATTGAGTCGTTGTCTCCGAATCGATAATTTTCCCACCAGTGCCATATCCCAGTGCATGGTATTTGATACGACTTCCTGTATTCGCCATGGCAACTTCGTGGCTGATCACAGATACCTTTTGGGCAAATTGGGACTTAATTCGACTCGTATTTCCGTTCCGTAATATTAGGACAACGCAATCTCTACGCTCGTGACGTGCGCGCTAGTCCACCATGGACAAGGCTCCTGGGTGAAGCTGGCTGCCTGCGGAAATTTCCCTTTGTGATCTTTCAGCAAACGCCAGGGACAATTAGAGCTGACAGCGAGTCTTTGTCATTTCAGGCCAGTAACATGTCAATCCAAAACATGTTAAAGGGCTTTTTAAGTGTCGACCAGAAGAGGAAGTTCTGAAACCTCGAAAAACAAGGTTCAACCAGCGGGACAGCGTATTTGCTTTATATTAAAGTAATGTGCACGCTGTAAATTGTGTCGCAGGGGAAGATTAGCCGGGATAGCAAAAGGACGGTCAGTAGGATGCAGGCTGGGCACTGACTGGCTCGCAGTTCACAAGTTTAGGAGACACTACTAGGTGGGGGACATGGCACAAACTCTTAGAGGCTAACAAGGGATGGGCTTTTGGGCGTCGAATGCGACGCATCGGTTGGGGCGCACTTAAGAGTAATTGGGAAATACCAGCATTTGCATGCCTAAATGCCGGCGAATGAATATGAGGGTCGTGAGAGGAGTTCTCAAGGCAAGCCAACCCGTCTGACGCCTCGATCTCAGTCACTAGCCCACCAGAGCGGTAAGTTACCGAGGTTGGCACTCAGGTCTCGGTTGTTTGGGACTGTGCTACGTCCGATTTGTTAATGGTTTACATGGCACGGAGGTCTGTTCCAGTCCCTCAGCTGAAATGTATGACTCATCCTGTACATTGTGGTTTGGCTACCGTTTCGTACCGTACATGAGCTGTGAGATGTGGGAAAATTACGGTACCTGCGATCGCAGGTATAAGCACTTGAAAACCTCTGATTCCGTAGAACCGCCAGCAACATGGGTTCCTTGATTACCGGCAGAAGCCATAATTAGATCTGGAGTTGGGCCTTTCTGCGCGTCAATCAAGTGAGGATGTAAAGATGCAGGCCTGTTAACATATCCGATTTCTGCGTTGTTGAGCGCTGATGTGACGGTCCATCAGTTTTCTAATCTCCGGGTGCTTATGGCATTCAGGTGCAGAACCCGACCTCCGTAAGCAGCATCTACATCCGCGTCAGTCAACCTGCCCGTGTCTGTCGTGCACCACTTAATAGACGTGAATCCTAGTCGCATTTGAGTCCGTAGAGGCACTTGTGGCAGTTAACTGCTCTCGAGCTGTGATCCCCTGATTCAAGCGGATGACAGCTCGCTCAACCCGCCCCCCTGACTGGGACCTCGACCTCGTCGAATGCGAACTCGTGACTTTGCCTGCGCCAAAGTCTCTGAATCTAGCATGTTCCATTTTTGCTGGCACCACATTTTCAGACGCCTCGTCTGGTCATTTCTTCGCATCCCGTCATCGTTGCCTCGTCATGGCTGGTCACCATCGACCTATTGTTTTTCGACTACGCTGTGAAATTACTTTTGCGTTAGTTACACTTGCAATTCACAGCAAGTCTGTCACGCCTCACGGGGCAATTTGCGTCCTGAACGGAAATAGGGTACTGAATGACGTCGGAGTCCAAATGCGGGAGCCTTAAAAGGCCAACGGAGAGTAACATTTTAATTCGTATGTTTGGGAATCTATACCTATTAGGCTCAAGGATTTTCAAACGAAACTCCTATGTAGGAGGCGCGTTCACCGTCCTGACTCGACATAAAGACGGAATATGACCGCTCCTTGAATGCGAGTCCCGGCCTTTTCAGGCGGTTGAGTAGCGACCAGAAATCAGCAGCCAGCTCTAGCTTATTTGCCACTGATGGCCAAGCGGGTTACTATCCTAGATCGACAAACCCCGAAATTCGACTCAGACTCACCCAGTCCTGCGCCGCCAGTTAAATCGTTCACCGAAGACCTGTCTGCTGTAGCTGAGAGAAATCGGAACTAATGACGGCAATTTAACCGGAAATGACCGCTTGTCCTCATCCGTGTCCGTAGAATGTCTGATTACTGATTGATGGCTATGGGCTCCCTTGCGAGGAATCTAGACTGGAATCTCAAGGAGAAGCGGGACATCCGTATTCCACACCACAGTCCCGCCTCACCTCCGAAGGTTACTTGTACGTAAACAAATGTTCCCAGTAGCAGTCGACGGAGGTCTGAGCCTTGGCTCGATCGGTAGGATGTTGAACTCAATGGCCAACTGGAACCGGCTTTAAGTCTCAGATGTCACCATGCTGGGTTCGAACAGTGGCTGGCGAACGTCAAGTAGGTCAGAAGTCGCTATTCCATTTTCCCTTGTCTCAGTCATTAATAATTATCAAAACTTTACCCGTGGAGTGTCTGTCACACCGCGAGTTTCCTGGGCAGAGGGACGTGACCTGCGTTGACAGTAAGGTTACAGAGTCAAAATATTTGCGCTTGAGGATCGACGGGACGGGTGCTTCACGAATTTTAGTTTTTTTTTCCGCCACGACTCGTCTTTTATTGGGTTAAAGTATCGGGACATGGTCAAGTAATCCTGTCTCATTTAGCAGCATCTGTACATCTAAGTATAAATCTCTGGTCCTTCCACATGCGCATGAAGTGCCACATGTATCTGGGGATTATTAGATGCATCATTTTATCAGCAGTTGGTGGCAGCAATCCACATTCGCATCACCTTTAATTAAATTTGGCAACCTGGACGAATGTACAGTTTTCGATTTGCTAAAACAATAGATAGGGCTACGACTGGCCTGCGGTATGAAGGATCAGATCTTCAATAGCAAGTTAGTTGGATACTTACAGTTCCTTTTAGTTGCGCAGTGGGCTCCCCCATCGTTCTCACCCACGCCAGCACTTCTGACAGATCGCCATACTGTGGTAGCACGAGCGAACAGAGCTCTCTTGAACAGGTAACCTTCAGACGCGCTCGACAAAAGCAGGATCCCCACATTAGCTGCCCGGTTAGACTTCCTTGCACCAGTCTGTTCTGAAGGTACTATTTGAATGGCGTTAGTAGAGAGGTACGCCCCCCGATAACCAGTGATCTCCGAGGGCCAAGTTAGAGGTTAAGCACCCTGAGCACCATGTGCCGTCAACTGTCCCTATGTTTTGGGCCCCCAGTCGCCGAGCCGATCTCGAATCGGTACCAAAAGTGACAGGGGTTGGCATAGGCCGCGGGCATATATCTGGCAGCTAACCGATAGTAGATAGGAGGCAATTGATGGGAATAAATGCTTAGGTATAAAGAATTTCGGCTTAAAATGGCCTTGGACATTGTTAGTCGCTTGGTTTTGTTAAATCTACCGTTGGGCATCACTTCCAAGCACGAAGTGCTGCTTTTAGTAGTTGTTGAGAACGTCATCCATTAGCAATGTCAATTTTTTTCCAGATGCAAGAATTGTTAGTGGAATACTAACTAATATAAATCTCTCTTTCTGTCGTGCGACCGTTTAGTGTCTTTTTTGACTGGACCACAATTGTTGTATCAAACCTGGCTGAGAGTTTAGATCGTAATCCTTTACGTGAACAACGAACGTGTCATGTCAATGGGACAAATTTGTTTACCAAATACGACGGATGGAATTAAAACAGAGCGACCGGACACTAGTTACGAGCCCGCATTAGGTGCCCTAGTAATGAAAAGTAGGCGCCATATTGGTGACCATTTATATCATTTCTAGTGGCGAGACCTCAGAAACTGTCAGTCTTATGCCTGGAAGTGATCACAACTTAGCCTCTTTGAAATCATCTTGCTCGCACTTATTAAATACCGAACGTCCTTTCTTGATTAGTCTCAGCGGATTACGTCTACCTCATACTGAGACAATTCTTTTTAGTTCATTAGACTTCGGAGGGGAGAATATTGACCAAACCAAAGCCAAAACTCCAGACAAAATGCAAAGCCAAAAGTCATAGCCGTTTGTATATTGTGGAATGTGTATGACCACCACCGGAAACAAAAGTATTGTTCATTCGCATGGTTACTCACTATTACTATTCTTCATCTAAAACGCAATTGGTGCCCTCCCGTTTTGTGCCCTGGCACCAAACACGCTGTCATCGTAGACGTAACCGAGATTTCTTGTGTCAGTAAACATGTCAGCATTGCGAGCCAGCGGGAAGAATCCAGGCATGAAACAGTCCCTGCAATGGCCGGGTCGTACGGCTTGTTGAGGGAATTCGGAGAGCTCTGGGTCGTACTTTTGATACCAGGTCTGTCGAAAGAATGGACGCAGGGGGTTAATAATAAAATTGTAATAATGTCTTACAAGCGAAGATATTAACATCAGAGTGGGTATTTCAGCTAACAATATCCCAGCCTCAGGTGTTGGCATGTCTTACGTTTGAATTCCAGTTACAAGGCCTAAATACCCACTTCCGCCCAACAATCAGGATAGGTCGATAAACGGCACTCGTAAATGATAATACAGTTACTAGAGAAATTTGCTCATTTTCATCGTAAATAAAAGTTGAGAATGCTGTCCCATATCACACTGTCTTGTAGACACCAAGGCTGTTACTTCGCTAACTGCAGAAACAGATAGGGGGACCATAATAGCCCTAGAGCTTTACCATCAAATTCAAATCGTTCTCACGTTGAGGGGACCTCCAGCTGCCGATCTGATTTTATCAAATTAACTACTCCACGATTTTTTTAGGCTCACAAGCACATTTAACAAATGTCAGCCGGCTTACCACACGCACTTTTATAGTTCCCCCCGTAACTGCAACCATCGTCATAATCTAATATCAATATGACATGGATATCTTCTACTTTAAGCTGTCAGTCGAACAAGGGGTCTACGAATAAAGTGTTCAGGATGGAGTGGTAAGTTTGCCAGGAAAGAAAAGCGTCAGCGAAAATATGAGATGACTAAGTGGATACCCTGGAGGACCGTCGCCTGTGACCGCGACTGCACCAGTAAACATTTCAAACATCTGGGTAGATCCCGCTCGAAGGCCAGTTCGACATGAGGAGACATGATCGATATTTTGGTGTTTTACTGATAGACCCGAAACGGCAAAGAGCACAGAGCCGGACTTTGTGAACCTTCCCCCCAGTTCGAAAAGACCGACTAGGTAGTCTACTGACAGTTAAACGGATAGCATTGTCCTAGGAGGCTGTCTAATACTTATTCGTTTAAAACAGTACAAAGTATGCGTTGGACTTAGAGAGAGCGTGCGAAGTTTTGCTTGGGCGTTGGAAGCCGACAAAAGAGGAACTGGCCACGCGGGAGTGATTTTCACCAATCCACTTTGATTGCACAATAGAACGGTGCCGTTCGTTTTACCTAGGAATTTCTGCCTAAACCAGGCATGAGTGTTCCCACGGTAAAACTCGCACAGCAATCCGATGGAACCGCCACCAACAAAAACGATTTACACGGGGGGCGGCTGTTTCTGGCCTATCTGTCGTCGCCAGTCAGTCCATCTGCAGGCCGGTATGGCCCGACGACTACAGATAATCGGGAAAGGGTCATCCCAGTTTTCCTTATTTCCGTCGCTAGGACTAATCGATTGGGCTGTCGGTGGTGTGCTAGTTTTTGCACCCGAGTGATCGAAGGCACCAAGCGAATTGGGGAACATAAAATAAACTTTTGATTTTGTGGTTTAAAGGAAGAACGTGTCCTGTGCACGTATTGCATCACAGATATCACGAGAAAGTCCATATAAAGGAATTCGCCAGCCGTGACGGTAAAACATTTAGTTTGGATCTGTCTTTCTTATCTGCAAAGAGGAAAGTCTGTGACTGTCGAGTTCACGCAGCAATTATTGGCTTACGGTGAAGAGTTTGTCCACCATCGTATGGTGGAGGAGGAAAAGGGGGTCATTGGCGGCTGTGCCGACGCAGCACATGCTTCCGTCCACCATGTTGTGAACTTTGTTATGCAGCCAGAGATCAGGTCCGGCCGAATCCGTAGGACCACAGAACCCTTCGAGGGCCATGCTGAAGGACGTGCACTTTGTTGAGTCGCGTTCTCCGCGAACATAATACCTGTTTTTTGTCAAAAAAGTGGCAGTGCATATGGTAAATAAGAAATCAGAAATTATTATTTTCAATCGATGAGGTGAGCATTTCGGTGCTAACACTAATTTTCAGCGTTTGTTATAACGCAGGAACCATTGCTGAGCGTGATCACGGGACGAAAATTCCAGGCCTTGAGAATTTGATAGGATCGGGCAGAAAAGCCTACTTGGTTTTTTGTGTTTTCGCATAATCAATTTGCACCATTTCTATGCGTATATTATGTTTGCCAAAAAGTAGGCGCTTGAAGGTCTCCCTTAGAAGCACAAATAAATGCCAGTTTTTTTGAAAAAGATCAATCCAGCTAATAAAAAGGCCTCTTCATTTTCTCCTAGAAACCCATTACCGGCAGTTTTTGGTGCAGTAAATGAAGGTATTTTATCATAATTGACGTTTACGAATGCGCCATCACTGTCTTCCGGGTAGGCCTGCTGAGAAGGCATATTCCAAACATTCTGACGTGGTTTTCAGTTTTCCGAGAAATTCGACAAAGTTTCACAATGAACTGTCACATTCAGTCGCCAAACAAGCCGCTTATGTCTTCTTGTAAGGAAACAGGATACAAAATTATGGCGTGTACGTTACGGCCCTTTCGAAAGGACAATGTCATAAATCACTGATCGTTTAAAGCAGTTAGAGGATAGGCATCTTATTCGCCGAATGTTTTTGACCTCCATACAGGCGTATACTTTGGGTGCAGTAGTAACTTTCCTGTCATATCCTACTTCATGCCTCGTGATGAAATGCCATAATGCCCTGATTTGAAACCTGCCAGTGCTGAGGATTGACGCACTATCTTTTAATTAGGTGAAACTTTTGCGGACTTCCTCCTTCCGCATCGTTAGTTTTGTATGCAAGGGAATTCATGGAACCACCACCGTTGTTTGTTGTTAATACCGCCTGAACGGTTGCATTCGATATGGTCGGACTGTTAGGATGAGTATCTAGAATATCAATAAAGCTTGTCTAGGATGCTTAGATGCACTCATTGGCGGTCAAAAGTGAATGATCATTCGGTTTACGGAACAAGCGTACTCAGCCATCATGGTACAGTAGATAAAACAGACGAGCACTGACGGTGCAGCATCCATCCCTCGGAAGGGCGAGTTAATTCTCAAAAGTTTGCAGACAGGTGACATGTGACCGCATTCATCAGAGACCTCCCCAAGATGGTTAATATCGTTCCTACCTCACCCGTTTAGGTTTACTTGACTTTATTTAAAAAGTTGTGGGCCTAAACTAAAGTAGGGGTTTTTTACAGTAATCTTTGAATGATTCTTACAGGCTCACGGCTCTAGTGGTCCCAAGGATATTGCCTGTACAAGTCTTCCGCATTCTGAACCTCATGTTCAACAAAAGTCTACGTAAATATGTTGTCAAAACCTCTCTGGATTCCGAGAGTTTGAGGATGTAAAAGGGTAAATTTGACATCAGTTGATAGGCTAGCTGTTGGTAATAACTTACTCTTTCAGTCCCAGAACAAATCCGATGTCACTCTGGTCCGGGAAGTTGTAGTGCCTCCATCGTCTGGTTAATTTTCCTAAAACGCCTGCGTGCTGGCAGCCATAACAGCGAAGTCGGTTGTTGGGTTCGTAGCAGTACTCTGACCAGTTAGAGAAGGGAGATCCCTCATGAATACGCAGCCCGTACTCATCAACCTTACCCGGTGCTCCAATGAATTCATTGGTGCACACGTCACATTCCCGCATACCAACCCAGTCCCAGTAAGGAATAGAAAGGTTGTCTATTCCATAAATTTTCTTTGCTATCTTGCCTAGCATTTGTTCCCAAAGCAGCAAAAAATACCGATGCCAGGTTGGGAAACCGGGCCCATCATGGATGAAATCAAGCATGCCGTAGGTGTTGCAGTCTTCATCCGTCTTGTAGAGTGTTGTTCGACTTCCGTAACGGTGCGCGTAGGTTACGTAGTACTGGATACTGGCCTTCACAAATTTAGGGTCATTGAGCGGATCGGAGTGGAAATTGTCTGTTTCGTCGACCAGGGCATAGCCGGAGGGCCAATAGGAGCTTCTTGCAAAAACATCAATGAAGATTCGGCGTTCCTTTGGGGTCAAGTCTCTGATATCTTTCCGCACCTTTCTTACAGGGATGTCGCAGTTGGGCCCTGTCCAGCCGAACCAACAGTCCTGACAGGAAGTGCCGAAGAAGTTGCCTCTGCACTGACAAGCATAGGAGAAGAAACGATTCGGCCAACTCACTCGGTCATCCATCTGAAAAGGCACTGGGACGTACTGAACGGGGGCCACAATCTTGGTGCAGTAGCCGCGATGGGGTCCGCCGCAAACTTGGTAGTTTTCCGGATTTCGTGGACAGCATATTGCGGAGGGTTTTGTAACATTTCCGACGCATTCCACAGGTATGATAGCGTGTATGACGGGGAAGTAGCATAGGCAAAGAACTAGGAGGATGGTAAGGGGGAAGGATGAAGATAGGTCAGGCATGTTGAGCACGACTTAGTTATTGTGGCTGCTGACGTTGAAGTCGGGGTAGTAGTGCTAGTAAACGAAGTTCGAAGATAGAAGTGAAGTGCGTTTTTGCGTCGCTGTTAGCCAAATATGTTTAAAGTGCACTTCGGAAATCGAAAACATTGACACAGGCCATTTTCATTCGATCGAAAGTACATACTAACAGGAAAAAGGCTTGATGGGGATATATTACGACTATTTGGAGGTCTGCGATTTAAGATTTTGCCACGAAACACCAATCTTTTTTTCTTTCGGAAAATGGAAGGAGGGCAATTTTATTTTCCTATCTCTTGTGGCCTTTCGAAATATCGCAGCCTGCCTGGAGAATAGACCATTCGCCTAACCGTTGCCTGTTACGCCTTAAAAGGACTCGACAGTCGGTTTAACTGCCCTCCCTTTTATCTGTTTGGGGCGAGGACAGGATTCCGGTCCCGGACGCTAATCACTTAGAGGAACAGGGTCATGCAAGTGTACAGGGGATTTCTTGTTAGTTGAAGAACTTGTTGTTTTCCTATTTGAGCATACCAGTAATTCATTCTCTTCAACCTTTGGGCGGACCGCCAGATACCAAAGCTTTAGGGCTCCGAATTAGATGAAAGTGTACATGAACGCCAGGACCGAGTCGAAATGAATCTCTGTATGTACAATATTTTGGGTCACAGGAAATGGGAATCGCATGTTTGATTTACTCACTTGAAAGTGAGGTTTATTCTGTTTCGGGTTATTTAAAAAAAAGAGTTCACAAGGACATCGATCTGTCTATTTTTCCTCGTGTAGCCTGTAAAGGTTAAAGGATGCTTACGCTGAGTTACTGGTTGAAACTAAGTTTTAAGGGGCTTCATTTTGTCCGTCATAAAAGTAATTCTTGTTCGATTGATAATATCCGTTTATTGAGCATGTTTAGTTTACTGATAAGTAGCAAGGCAAATGAGTAGCGGAGGGTGTGTTCACACAGCGCTCATCAGGTCACAAAGCAAATAAGAATGCAAGCAGAATCTTGACGACCCCCAGGTGCTGACAGTTGCCATCATCTCGTGCTGAACTTTTGGTCTTCAACTTCTGAGGTTTAGACTGCTACACGAAACTACTGGGCTCTTATCAGGGAGGTATCTGACAGCGTGAGCACTTCTAACCAGTTAAAGCTGAGAGAAAGGGCATGTGTTACACACACAGATACGTTTCCTTACGTCTGGCCTGCCTTAGTGACCAGCAGTATAAAAATAACGCAGTAATGGTGCTCGGCTAATTAATGCAGAGAATGCTCTAGTAAAATATCTACTCTGAGGGCAAAATTTACCGCACAGGCTTACTTAAGGTACTTGAAGTAAAGTTACATCTCTGCTATTCGTCCATTTGAGGGGGCCTTATGCAGCAACTTCAAGACGAAGTGAAACATCCTTACCCCGTCCTGCATTCAGGGCGCATCTGCGAAGCCTCCTATGTGACTCGGACGATACAAGGCAATCGCATCGACAAATCATATCTGTTTTCACATACCAGACCTTCCTGGAATAGGACTGACCGGCAGCAATAAAGAAGACAGAGATGGCCAACCTAGTATACCTTGACTTTTACAGTCCTGTCGCAGACCTCGATTTTTGCAGGCGCCCAAACGGTCAATCGATGACAGTCAACCTAACTGGATTGACTGGGAATATATCATATTTTTGTTCATCGGGAGTCCGTTAATGACCACTCCTAACAAATAAATTGGAAGTGACAAATGGTAAAGAACATTCCTATGAACGGCGAGGCTCGGAAACGCCGTCCTGATAGCAAACCGGGAAACCCAGGCCCGTCAAGTGTGGGAACCGTGGTAAAAAGGGCTTTACGGATGGAGCTGCGGAAAACAGTGAAGAATGTGCGAAAACTAGGAGAAAAGCGCAGGTATTGTAGGTAAACATGTTAGTTTGTTTTATGGGCAATACATCTAAGCGTAAGCGTAGCCTAGTACTAAATCCGCTGCAGGCAACCAGTAAAGCCAATTCAACGAAGAGCAGGGGTGGTGGGCCCGCCGAGGTCACTGAAATCGAACCGTCAAGGAATGTGACCAATCGGGTGTAGGCCGTAGATTTAAATTGTAGGAAGTGGGTGGGGAATGGCCCCATAACCATAAACACTAACACTAAACCCTACACCATGATCCTAAACCCTAACCGTAAGCCCTGAACCCTGACTCTAGCTCCAAATTCGGACCCTAACCCCTAGACCTAAATCTTAAGTCTGAGCCCCAACGCCGAACCCTAAATCTTGACCGTGAAACCCGAACCCTAACGTGATTGGGAATCATAATAGCAGCACTCCGTGGAACACCTCCAATTGAGGGTATCTGCAAATAATACTACGCCTGCTGAAGTCAATAAGAGTATTAAAATGGCAAATGCTGACCACCTACTGAAATCAATAATAGTACGAAAAGCACAGTTTGTTAACCAAGTAGGACAGCGTTTGCAAGTCTCACCCTGTCAAGTGCTAGTTTGCACTGAAATTCATTTTCCAATTTATCTTGTCTACGGCCGGGGCCGTTCAGGTCGCCCTAAACTCTTTTCACCGCAGTTTATATTGCATGAGCTCTCTCGTGTCATTCCGGTTGTGTGTCCCCTTGATGCGGTAACGGTATCCACATTAGTACGGTTTTCGTCTAGTTGGCGTTCCCCTGCGATGAATTTGTTGGCTTCTTTCCCATGGGTGACTTGGATGGACACGAGGATAACGCCCTTCCTCTCCCTCCCTTTAAGTGGTTTTGCGCTGAATTCCAAGTGGGTACCTACCCCCGTGTTTTTATTTTGACCCTAACATTTGCCCCAACCCTCATAACCCTTTCGCTAACACTCGTAGCCTCGACCATATCCTTCCTCGTCCTAACCATAAAAATAACTATACCCCCCTATAAGGCCACCTATAGCACGAGGAGACCCATACTCCCGTGTTCTACCGAAGATATGGGTAATTTCAGCGGTGATACCCCTGAAAACAGTTAAGAAGTCAAAATCGGCAAATGTACGCCCTAGAAAGCGTACGTTTGCTGGTCTTGACTTCTTAAATGTTTTATGGGTATCATCGTCGAATTCGAAAAATCTAAGGGTCCCTCGGTGTTCAAGTTACTCAATAAGTACCTACGCCGCAACACCCGCCTTGTCGAAGCGGACGTGGTTTCTGATTTCATTGCAAACTGCACTGTGTAAGGTGAATGTCCGCCTGAATACTGGAGGTTGTTTCGTTAGAATCGGACGATTATCTCAAATACAACATTAAGGAGGTATGCTGAGAACCGCCCAGAAAGTGTCGCAACGAGGATCAGTGATCCATATCGCAATATGCATCAACTCATGGCGATATTAGGCGAAATAGCCGAGGGAGGACGGAGACGATTTAACAGCTGTGTCGAGACCTCGACGAAAAGACGGACGGCATCAAAATTGATAAAACTAATTCGTAGTACCAGCCCGGTGTGCGCACAGGCAACTTATCCAAATGCTCCAGAGCGGAACGCACATAATTTCGCTAATTTGGCGCTAGACAAATATCTGATTGAAGTAATGTCATTGGGCCACAAATTTTGTTTTCCTAATCCGAGACCAAACGGATTAGTGACAGAGGTTCAGTATGAAATTCTGTGGAGTCAGACGCATGGCCTAGTACCTACAACACTAAAGGAAACGAAGTATTTCATATCGACGCTTGTGAATATTTACCACCAATACCTTCGAACAAAGCGAATAAGAATCGGACATATCTTGAAATAACACCTGAAGAAACTCAAAAATGAGGTCGAAACAAGGAAATACTCGTCAGCAGACCGAATAGAAGTTCTGGTCTCGTTCTCATGAATAAAAGTGTTTACGTTTCTAAAATGGAATCAGCTCTGGCTGATGACACTAAGTTCAAAAGAGAGAGGCAAAATAAAGGCCAAACTGAGAGCGTAGGAACTCAACTCAAAAAATTCCTCCGGAAATTGAAAGACCAAGGTTTTCTAGTGAACAGGATTTCGGAGCGCTTAAACTCACAGGCACAATACCCCCAAGGCTGTATGGTTTGTCAAAGCTTTATGAACCCGACCTTCCGATGCGTCGAGATTAGACAAGGGTCGTTCACCAAACCACACGATTGCAAAGTGGCTGGTAGAAAGGCTCTAGTCGATTCGATGCAAAACAGCACCACGTAGCCTACGGACACATCAATTCATCGACTCTGTCGGGATGGTATGGTCGGCACGACAGAGGTTCCCAAATCAGAAGTCAGGTAAGACGGATTGGGTTGGACAACCTTTACTGCTGAGGAGGTGTATGCACAAAGACTCCGCAAGCAGTCGCCGCGAGCGGTCTCTCTAGGCAAGTTGTACCGTCTGTGTCCGCCGTTGAGGTGCTTAGACCCCAGAGCGTGTGTACGCTGTTCGCTGTCTCATTGTCCGCCAGCCAATCAGGGAAGAGACAGTGTTCATTGGTCTGGAGCACTCGCGAGGCTAGTGGTAAGCCTCGCGAGTCCCAGCAGTAGGTCGACGGAGAGTGAAGCAGACAGGAGGGCAGCGTGACAAAACGGTGGAGAGCAATGAGGAGCAGGACTGACACACTTCGATAAGGCATGCAAATTTCAATTGGAAAACGATGCTGTCATTAGACGTCGAGTTTTTGTCAATTAAAATTCCTCTCGCGGAATCGATAGAATTTTTATGTAACGAGATTGTAAGGCAGGATTTCAAAATCGACATGCCCGCCGGCGACCTTAAACAATTGCTCTTTCGCTGTATGCCAAATGCTCAATTCAGCTTCGATAGCCAATTTTACCGCCAAATTAACGGGGAAGTAATGGGATCCTCCCTCCAACCTCTACTAGATGATGCCTTTAAGGGGAGACTAGAGAAAAACAAGCTCTGCTCAGTTATAAATTACCTTTATTCCTATGCTCGACATGTTGATGAAATTCTTGCAATAATGGATGAAAAGCCTGATTTGAACACCCTCTTGCATAATGTGAGT